CCTCTCTCAAGTTAAGAAGAGGATGAGGATGAGGATGAGGATGAGGAAGAGGAAGAGGAAGAGGAAGAGGGAGAAGAAGAAGAAGAAGAAGAAGAAGAAGAAGAAGAAGAAGAAGAAGAAGAAGAAGAAGAAGAAGAAGAAGAAGCAAGCAAACAAACCGTTTCCTTTTTTTAAACAATTAAGTAAGTTATGTATACTAGTTTAATTAGAAAAGAGGAAACTTAAATCTTTTTTTTTTTTTTTTTTTTTTGAGACAAGGTTATATTATGTAACACAGTCTGGCCTTAAACTCACTGACTAGACTGACCCCAAACTCATGGTGATATTTTTGCCTCAGCCTCCCAAGTGCTGGGATTGCAGGCACCATGCCCAAATAATTTAAATTTTAACAAACAAAAAATCTAGCCAGGCATGGTGACACGAGCCTGTACTCTCAGCACATGGGAAGCTGAGGTAAGAGGGTCTCTTTGAGCTCAAGGCCAGCTCAGAGTACATAGTGAGACCTTTTTCAAAAAAACTTACAACCTCCTCTGGCTTCCTTTGGGACAGGCAATCTGGTGGAGGTGGGCAGGTAGATGGCAGGACATGCCTAGGGGTAGGGGACCCTTATGGTCTCACACTCCTATGTGCCCCTGGCAGGGACGTGCTGCTGGATGGCGGCTCGGCGGTGGATGCAGCCATTGCTGGCCTACTGTGTGTCGGGCTCATGAACCCACACAGCATGGGCATTGGGGGTGGCCTGTTCCTCACCATCTATGACAGCTCCACAGGTGAGTGCCTGGAGACTTAGAGTGGACATGTGGATGTGGACATACGTGGCCCCCAGCCTCCCTCAGGGCGGGTCTGCTCATCCTGCCTACCTCCTGCTTCTTCCAGGGAAAGCTGAGGTTATTAATGCCCGTGAGAAGGCACCCCGGCTGGCGCACACCAACATGTTCAACAGCTCAAAGCAGTCTGAGGAAGGTAAGCCATAGGGGGAGGCTCGGGGCTGTGGTCAGAGCCAGGATGGGCCTTGGGGACGTTGGCTCGGCCACACGAGCAGGGCCCCATCCAGGCCCGGGATTCTGCCACTGCTCTGCTCCTTCCTGCACCAGCAGCACCCTCTCGCAGTGAGCTGAGCCATCAAGCGTCCTTGCCTGCCAGGGAGAGGCACCTTCTCCTGTTCCTTTTGCTCAGACCCTTCCCAGGCCACCTTGTGGTTAGAAATGGAAAGAATAATCACAGTGAGCTATGGGTCTGTGGGGTCCACGTCCATGCCCACGCATTAGGCCAACTGCAGGCTGAAAGTACTCAAAAGAAAGGATCCCCCGAGCCAGGCATGGGGGGACATGCCTCTAATCCCAGCATGCTGGGAGGATGAAGCAGAGAATCATAAATTCAGGCCTATCCTTGGCAACTTAACAATTTAGAGAGACCCTGTTTCAAAATAAGAAGTTAAAAAGCACAGCAGATATATCTCAGGGTGAAGACTTTGAGTTTAATCCCAAGTATGGAAAAAAAAATTATGTCCACACTAAACATATATTTCTTTTTTTATTCCAAAGAGAACTACTTACATTGCACTCACATTAGATTAAATACAATAAGTAATTAAGAAATGATCATCCAACCTATGACCCAGGGGTTGGGTATGCCATTAAACATAGTTTTTGGCCAGGTGTGGTGGCTCGTGCCTCATAATCCCAGTACTGAGCAGGCTGAGCTACATAGCAAGACCCTGTCTCAGAAATCAAAAAACTATTTTTAAAAGGAAGTTTTGTTACTTATATACATTAATTATGTTGCATATTTTATATGTGGCTGAAGATTTCTCCTCACTCAGTATGGCCGAGGGAAGGCAAATGTTTGCAACCCCAGGCTGCAAGTTGAACATACAGGATTGGACGCCCCTCAATGTGGGATGCTTGAATACCCGGATTTAGTGTATTCGGGACAGGTTCTAGAACTAATCCCACAGATGCTGAGGCACAGCTGGGCCATTATAACAGCTCATACATTCCTGGGACCACTGGGGCTGGCCCTGCTCGGTGCTTTTCATGGGTGAGCCCCTTGGATCCTTCCTGTGCCCTGGGGGATAAAGAGGGATTCTGCATTGATTCCCATTTTACAGGTGGTAACACTGAGGTCCAGAAAAATCATGCAAACTAGTTGAGGTCACACAGCTGGGATATGGTAAAGCACGGATTGAATATAAGCTGTCAAAATCCTGTGTTTGTTACAGGCAGCCCATTCGTCCATCCATCCATCCATTCATTCATTCATGCATGCATGCATTTGTATTGAGGTTTGCCATCTGAAGTGGTTGAAGGCAAAGTCTCTCTTTCTAACCTGACCTTAAGTAGAGAGAAGGCCCCCCAAAAAATTCTTCAGGTAGATGAGGGGAAGCCAGTGGCCCCCAGAAGTGCCACTCAGGTAGAAGGGTTCACAGGATAAGTTTGGAAGGTTGGAGCACCACCCCAGCAGCCATTCTGATGCTGCAGGGAGATTCTGGGGTGCCCCTCAGTAACCTTTTTGGATTCCTCCTCAGCTTACATAATCTTTGATTGTTTTATACCCACACTGGTATAAAACAATTGAGAACTCTAAATGTGTAAGGATGAGATTGATCATCACATGGAAATGCTGGGATCTTATGGACCCAGCGTCCTGCAGACTCTTGGAGTTCATTTATTTAACTAGGACTTACTGAGCCTCTCTTACAGCATCAGGCCCTGTTCCCCAAGCTAGGGTACAAAGCAAAGAAAAGACACAACCCTTAGCCCTGGCAGCCGGCTCCCCAGCTGGACAGGGGAGGCTGCACCAATGCCGGGGTGCCATGTGCTGTGGGGACAGCAGAGCTGGAGGGCCTGAGGGGCGGGTTTTACAGAGACTGATCTGGCCAGGGAGAGGACATCTGAGCAGAGACGGTGGCGCAGGGTGAGGGTGGATGGTATAGCCCTGTGGGGCCTCAGGGAAGGTGGGGAGATCAAGCAATCCAGGTGCACTGGGCAGGGACTGAGCCCTGAGGACGCTGCCGTGGAGCCTGCTGGCCCGGGAGCCTCGGCCTAGGCTGGGTGGGACCTCGTAGGTCACTGCAAAGCCCCTGCCTCTTGTCTGAGTGAGATGGGAACCCCAGGCCTGTCTGAGTGGAGGAAGAAAATTCACCTTATTGCCTGCAGGACCCCTTGGGCTGCTGTGTGAGGGGCAGAGAGCCAGTAGGGGCCTGGTAGGCAATCACCCCAATAATTCAGGGCAAATGGGGAGTGGTGGACAGTGGCTGGTGTTGAAGATACAGCATGTGATTTGCTGGTGATTGGGTAAGACACACGTGTAGGGGAGTCCTGGAGGACCCCAAGGTCTTTGTGTGTACCTGAATAAACAGGGTGGCTGAGAGGACAGGCAGGGCTGTTAGGGGATGGGTTTGAGTGGATGCTCAGCAGTGCTACGTGGGGTTTGTTGTGTGAGATGCCTGTTTTGAATGGGAGCCTTGAATCCGGCAGTCAGGGCAGCAGTCCAGGCCAGAGGGTGGATATGGAGCTGACAGCGCACAGCTGAAAATGGAAGCTCAGAGCAGGAGGAGAGCACAAGACAGGAGGTGGTGGAAGACAGCGCTGCGGGCGGAGGAGAAGGGCGTGGCCGTGGGGGCGTGGTTGTGGGGGGCTCAGCAAGAAGGAGTGAAGCCAGCGGGACTGAGTATGATGATAGGCCTGGCAACATGGGGGCTGCCGGTGAACCCAGCAAGCAGAGTGCTGTGAGAGCTGATGGGCCCAATGCCATCCGAGCTTGCTTGCTTGCTTCCTTGCTTGCTTGCTTGCTTGCTTTTCTTCCTTTCTTCCTTCCTTCCTGAGAGTAACTGTGTATCTGTGTTTTAAGTGTCAGATCTTTAGCTGGGTGTGGCGGCACACACCTGTAATCCCAGCACTAGGGAGGCTGAGGCAGGAGGATCACCATGAGGTCAAGGCCAGTTTGGGCTATGTAGTAAATTCAAAGCCAGCCTGAACTACACAATGACATCCCGTCTCAGAAAACAGAACAACGGTGTCAGCTCTTCCCAGGTGGACAAGTTTTAGGATCATAGTAAACTGCTCTTGAAGACGCATGCCTGGCTTTGGCTGGGACAGGGATATGTGGTTCTAGAGCTGCATTGGCCAAACCTAGGACTAGGCAAAGTGACCCTGAGGACTTCAGTGGAGAAAGCAGGAGAGAGCAGGGGAGGGGGCGGGGTCCCTGACTGCACCCTGCTGGCCAAAGTCATCAGTATCTCGCTTTGGATACAACACCAAGGTGGGCAGAGGGGCTCATGGGGAGTCAGCCCCAGGGATCTGTTTCCAAAGAAATCACGGGCTCCCAGAAGTGCTCAGTGGAGCATAAACCACCATATGGTCAGATGGGGAAAACTGAGGTCTCGAGAAGACAGGGCAGGGATTACGGCTCAGGGTAGTAGCAAAGAGGACAAGCATCCTTTCCTGGGAGTTGACATAGCTTTAAGTTGCTGGTAGGGGCAGGGCAGGACCTGACCTCGCTTTAACACGTTCTGGTAGGGCTCAGACACCTTATGGGACCAGCAGCTTTATGGCTAGGGCGGGCTCAGACTGAGAGACAGGAGAGATCTGGCTTTGCCTGGCCTTGGGCCCCCAGGGTCCCCAGGGTCCCCAGGGTCTTGGCATTGCAGTCAGGGCCACATTGTGGGGAAAGACAACTGATCTCGGACAGCAAAAGCTAGCCCATGCGACAACAGCTCCCCCTCTGGTCTCCTGCCAGACATTCCTCTTTTGCTTGTGAAGCCCAGACAGGATCTTACAAAAATCTTTCCTTAGGCTGGGGTCTAACTCAGTGACAGAGCACTAGCCTAGCATTTGTGGGCCCTGGGTTTGGTCCCGAACAACAACAACAGACACACACACACACACACACACACACACACACACACACTATTGCCTTCGAAGCCTCACTAGGCTGCTCTATCAAATGGGCCAGGGACATTGCCTAGGATGCTGTGCTGCTGGGGACCACTAGTCACGCCTCTCTCTCTGTCTGCAGGTGGGCTGTCAGTGGCAGTTCCAGGTGAGATCCGCGGCTACGAGTTGGCGCACCAGCGGCACGGGCGGCTGCCTTGGCATCGCCTCTTCCAGCCCAGCATCCAGCTGGCCCGTGAGGGCTTCCCTGTGGGCAAGGGCTTGGCAGGAGCCCTGAACAAAACCCGCACTGTCATTGAGCAGACACCTAACCTGTGGTATGTCCGCAGGCACGGGCCTGCCACCTGGTCACTACTACACCGGAAGGCCTGATGGAGCTGTGTTCTGCTTTCAGGATGCTGCACTGGATGGTCGACTTTGAGACCCTTAGTGGACACTACTAGGCCATGTAGTTGGAGTGGCATGGGACGCTAGGAGCCCGGAGCAATAGGGCTACCCATCTGTGGACAGGCCCTGCCCATTTCTTGCTCTCCCTCCCTTGAGAATAACGGGAAGCCATGAAGGTTGTGGGGAGCTATGCATGGGGGCAGTCTAGCCGGTTCCATCTCACCAGCTGCCTGATGTGAGTTTCTCTGCCCCAGCGAGATTTTCTGCCGGAACGGGAAGGTGCTTCAGCAGGGCGACACAGTGACCATGCCACGACTGGCTGACACTTATGAGACACTGGCCCGAGAGGGGGCCCAGGCCTTCTACAATGGCAGCCTCACAGCCCAGATCTTGCAGGACATCCAGGAGGCTGGTGAGTGGGAGGCCTCGGGGCCTGAGTGGGGAACCCCGTGGTGGGATCCTGGAGTCAGGATCCAGACCCTCAGGCCCTCCTTCCTGTTTTCACTGACCACTGGGCTCTCAGGGACTCCTTGGCAGGAAAGGGTCAGTGACAGGCCACATGGGATCACATTCCTGGTTCAATCGCAGAATCTATGTGGCCTGGGAAGGAAGTGGGCTAAGGCAAGTGTAGGCAGGACCAGGGGCTGAGGAAACACTCCATTGCAGACGGAAGATCCAGGGGCCCTTCCTGGGAGGAGTGGCGGGTGAGCTTCCTAGGGGGTGGAATGGCTTGGGCTGAGACACAGACGGGTTTTGATTCTCTGGGAGGGATGGGCTTGGGAGAGAAGCATTTGGAGTGGCTTTTTGTTCAGTGGTCACAGAGAGAGGAAAAGATGGGCTGGAAGTCCTGGAAGGAAAGCGGCTTGAGGACGGCCAAGTCCAGCTGCCTCCCACTTGACGTCCCTGGGACCCTTTCTGGTGGTGTAGACCATCTTCCTCCTGTGGCACAGCCCTGTCTTTCTACTCAACAGCGAAGCCCTTCCTAGTGCTCCTCCAGGCAGTGCCCTGCCCCCCAGTTGTGTGCGCTGTTCTCTCTCTATGGTGCAACCCCGTGCTCTGCCCGGTGTTACAGTAAGACGTCCTGGATCCCTGCTGTAGTGCAGCGTCCACCCGAGCCACCATCCCATTGCAGGGGGCATCATGACCACTGAGGACCTGAACAACTACCGTGCGGAGCTGATCGAGCACCCGCTGAGCATCAGCCTTGGGGACTCCGTGCTGTATGTGCCCAGCGCCCCACTCAGTGGGCCTGTGCTGGTTCTCATCCTCAACATCCTCAAGGGTGAGGGGCCCCGCTATGGCCCTGCAGAGGGGCTCTCGACTCTGCCCCTCCCTCCCCATACCCCAGGACTATGACACCTACAAGCCAAGCCTTGTCTTTCCATCCCTGAGCACCCTAGGGCCCTCCCTGCCCCAGGGCTCACCCTGCCCCTGCAGGAGGTGGTGGGGTGACCAGGGCTTTCCAGGGTAGGCAGACCTCAGGGCTTGAGAGGATGAGGAGTAGTGGGGGGCGGGGGGAGACAAGTAACAAGATTTCAGGACAGGGGGCCTGGTCTGGAGAGGACTTTTGGGTTTAGACTGTGGGACCCTCTGGCTGGGTGTGTGAGGTGCTGCCTTCCTTGGTAGACAGCTGGCCACTGTTTCCCAAGGTGGGCAGCATGGCTCAGGGAGGCCGTAACCTTTTGGGCCTCTCTGGCCACCAATAAATATCTGGCTCTGACCAACCAGGGTACAACTTCTCCCCGGCAAGTGTAAGCACACCTGCACAGAAGGCCTTGACATACCACCGCATTGTGGAGGCCTTCCGGTTTGCCTATGCCAAGAGGACCCTGCTTGGGGACCCCAAGTTCGTTGATGTGACTAAGGTAAGGGGCTGACTCGCAGTGGGAAAGGGTGAGGGCCCCAGAGCTACCCCAAGCTCATGCATGCTTTCTGAATCCCCTCCTGCCACCAAGTTTGGCTGGGCGTCTACAGTATGCTGGGATGCCCAGGTTAGCCTGAGTTCTGGCCTCTGCTTTGTGGAGTTGGGAGAGCTAGGGAAACAGACTTGATTGCAGGTAATTAGTGCTCCCCTTTTCTGGCCAACTTCTACCTCAGGGCCTTTGCATATGCTGGGCTTTCAGCCTGGAAGGTTCTGACATGGTCAGTGCTGAGGGGAGAGATGGATGGGGGTGTTGCAGCCCTCAGGAATGACAGGAAGGATATACCAAGGTTGGGGAACCAAGGGGCAGAGGTCATGGAAGCCAGCTCTCTGGTCACATCCAGGGATTAATGCTTCCAGCTTCCCCACCCTGGGCCCGGCATCACCTGGCCCACTTACGTGACCAGGTACTCAGATTCACACGAGGCCTCTACTGGAATCCCCATGGCCTCCCTTCTTGCCAGGGGCCTAGGTTCCTCCCCACCCACTTGGATCCCTGGCCTTCCAGACCTGTGAGCTGCCTGGGAGAGTCCTAGTGTCCCCTGGTGAGCGGAACAGAAGCCCCCCATCTAGCCCAGCCCTGCCTCCCCCTGGCCGTTGCCTGACTCACAGTGCAATCCCACAATGCAATCCCACAGTGCAGTCTCTCTGCCTCTCCTATGTTCCCTATAGCAGCTCCTCCCACAGAGAGGCCTGCTGTCTCTTAGAGTGATCTTGCCAGACTCACCTCGCTCCATTTGTACATATTCTGTGGCGCTGCAGTGCCTCATATAGCCTAAGCAAGCGCTCTACCGCAGAGCTACATCCCCAGCTTACTTAAGTATTTTTGTGGTCATATAGGTGGAACCCAGGGTCTCGTGCATGCTAAATGAACACGCTCATTGAGCTACTTCCCTAGTGATTACATCCAGGGCCTTTTTAAAAAAATTTTTGAGACAAAGTCTGAGTTGCCCAGCTGGACTTGAATTTGAGATTGTCCTGCTTCGGTCTCCCAGAGTGCTGGGATTATGGGCATGCATTATGCTCAGCTTATCCTCTATTCTTTTTTTAATACCCCATATGGAGCAGGTCACCACCTCTTGCCTAGTTGTCCATAGCCTGCTTCTATCCTCCACTTGGCCACCAGAGGAACCCTATGAACAGCTTTCTAGTAAGCTCAACCCTCTGCCCCAAGGCTACAGGGCTCAGAGCAAAAGCCAGAGTCACCCTGGTGGAACCCATGAGGCCCTACAGGGTGGGCTCTGGCCATTGTTTCCAACCTCTTCCCTTCTTGTCTCGCACTCTCCGCCTGGAAGCCAAGGCTGGTGCTTCCTGCCCCAGGGCCTTTGCACTCACCCCTCATTCTGGGCTCTTCTCTGATGGCACCTCCTTGAAGGAGTCCTCCCTGCCTGCTCTGTCTCTCCTCTACCCCTCTTCATCCCCTCTTACGACCAGCACTTGCCCTGCTATTATTGTTCTTGCCCCTTGTCTTGTGCGTAGGTATCTGTGTCTGTTCCCTGCTGATTCTTCTTTCCGGGCATATAGTACAGGTGCCATGAATTCTCCCAGGAATGCATGGGGCAAGACTCTGGATGTTTGAGGGATGGACAGACAACAAAGACAGAAACTAGAGAAGGAAGGAAATAGGCTGGCCATCGGAGATGCTGGGCCTGCTCTCTGGGCCCTGGGGAGCCCTGTAGGGCTTAGGGTATAGGCAGGTTAGGGTCGGCCCACCGTTCAGGGCATCCTAAGACCTGCTCGAACAACCCTGTGCCCTGCCCGCCCTCCTCCCTTCCCACCTCTTCAGGCCAGCTCTGGGGTCTTGGCAGGTCATCCAAAACATGAGCTCCGAGTTCTTCGCAGCCCAGCTTCAGGCCCGAATCTCTGACTACACCACATACCCAGTCTCCTACTATGAGCCTGAATACTATGTGCCTGATGATGGGGGCACGGCCCACCTGTCCGTGGTCTCAGAGGACGGCAGTGCTGTGTCCGCCACCAGCACCATCAACCTCTAGTAAGGGCTGTGAGGCTGGGGGTGGGGGGGCCCAGTCCCAGGTGTGTCCCCCAAGGGGTCTTCTACTTCTGCAGAGGGTCATGGATGCTCCGCTTAGTTGGGCCTCCTGGGGACTGAGTTTGTGCAGGAGGGACCCGGCAGGCTTGCACTGGGGTGGGTACAACTCTCTGACCCTATCCATCCACAGCTTTGGCTCCAAGGTCGTTTCCCAAGTCAGTGGCATCATCTTCAACAATGAGATGGATGACTTCAGCAATCCCTACTTCACCAACCAGTTCGGGGTGTCCCCTTCACCGGCCAATTTCATCGCACCAGGTGCGGGGTGGGGATCTGTGTTGAGAGGGAGCTAATTTCCTGAACAAGCAGCTGACCAGCATCTCTGTCCCCTCTCGCGGGCCACAGGGAAGCAGCCACTCTCGTCCATGTGCCCATCAATCATTGTGGGCAAGGATGGCAAGGCCCAGATGGTGGTGGGAGCCTCCGGAGGGACACAAATCACCACATCAACTGCGCTGGTATATTCCACCCACTGCCCTCCCTGCCCCTGTCCCTGAGCCATGTTGACCCCTCACCACCTCTTCCCACCCCCAGACTATCATCCGCAGCCTCTGGTTTGGCTACAATATGAAGCGGGCAGTGGAGGAGCCCCGGCTGCACAACCAGCTTCTACCTAATATCACAACAATGGAGAAAAACATTGATGAGGTGAGCTGGAGGTTGGGGAAACCGAGTCGTAGGGTCTCCTGGGCGGCAGGCCTGTATCATCAGAGTGAACAGTGACTGTCATCCTCTGTCCAGGTGACATGGTCCTTACACCTGCTGCCTGGGTCATCCAATGTGCAATGGGGCCTCAAGGCCCAGTGCCCCCACCTTTCCTGGTCACTTGGTTAGAAATGGCACCATCTGGCTCTGGGAGGTCTGTGACCACACAGGAACGGTTTCCAGCACCCCTGATGCCCTGCTGAGCCCCCTCTCCTCTCACCCCTAGGCAGTGGCTGCAGGCTTGAAGACCCGGCACCACGACACCGAGGTTACAGACAGCTTCATCGCTGTGGTGCAGGCCATTATGCGGACAGCCAGTGGCTGGGCAGCTGCTTCGGACTCCAGGAAAGGCGGGGAGCCAGCCGGCTACTGAGCGCCCCCCTGGGATAGCCAAGACTGGCCAGAAACCCGAGGCCAAGACGCCAGGGCCAGGAGTGGGACTTTAGGGGGTACTCTCTTGATGAGTGGCACAGCGGCATAATAAATGGGGCCACTGCGTAGAGCTCTGGGCAGCGTCGCAGTCCAGGTCCCCCCTCCCTGGGTTTCAGAGGCCTGCATGTGGAATGGAGCTGTCTGGTGGGTGTGATCAGAGGTCTCCACACTCAGGTGGGGAGCTAGCCTCAGCTTCTTCAGCGTGGAGACAGCCTGCTGGGTGGCTGGAGAACCAGTGAAGAAGGCCCAGTTCCTCACTCCCCACCCCAGCTCCAGGGAAAAGCTCCTCCCTAGTAATAGCCACCAGGGGGAGTCCCAGCCTTAACGTTGACCTGCCCGCAGCCGCTTGGCGAGCCAGGTACTTCCTCAGACTCTGGAGTGTCCCTGCTCACGTTGCCCAGGGCATAAGGAGGTGAAACTGGGCTCTGGGGACCAGGACTGGGCAAGGGGCTGAAAGAAGAACTCTGTAGAGCCATGCCTGGTGTCACTTTCCAAGCACAAACCCAGAGTCAAGTCCAAACAAGCGATCAGCTCCAGGAAGCCCGGTTCGCAGGGAACAGCAAGCTGGAGGCCATCCATAGTTCCTCACAGGGAAGGCGGCCCAGCAGCAGGGGGCCTGGACGGACACTGCTATGCCTAACATACCACATCCGGGCTAACCCCTCCAGACCCGTGCCAGGCCATTTAATCCATTCTTCACACGCAGTATACACATGTATGCACAAACAGTATGCACACAGTATACACACAACATATACATGAATTATATCCACGCAGTATGCACAGAGTATAACCCCTGTGGTGGGGAGCCGGTGAGGGCTCCTAGAGGAGGACTGGGGAGACAGAATTACCTCTCAAACACCAGATTTCACCCCTAACCCTAACCATAAGTACAAGTAGGGGCCCTGAGGGCAGAAAAGGGGCTGGGAAAGGCTGGAAAACATGGCGCTTCCAAAGGAAAGTGGGGTTCTGTGCTTCAGGGTCCTGAGACCTGAGGGCTTTGTCTCTCTCCTTCCCAAGGAAAGGCGAGGTAGCAGCCCCTCCTCAATCCTTGTATTAATGCCAGAGGAAAGGCCAACATCCCATTTGCAGAGGAGAAGACTGAGCCTGGAGGCAGGCTCAGGATTGCACAGTGAGGAGAAAGGGACCTACCTGTGAGGCTTCCTGAACCCCCACATGCCGGCTGGCATAGTCCTGTTCTCTAGGCCCTGAGAGGTATAACCCAGGGGGCTACTTCAGTGTCTAGCAGACTTCAGTTCCCTTCTCCTTCCCATCGTCCCCGCCTCTGCTACCCCCTGGTAAGGACATTCAGGGCCGGTCCCAGTTGGGCCTCCAGCAGAGCCTCTGGCCAGGCCCAGCCCTCGGCCTCGGCATGGCTATGTGAGCACCCTGGCCCCAGCCTGACCAGGATGGCTGGCACAAGGAGAGGCCAGGATAATCTTAGGCCCCTTAACCCTGCTGTCATTGGTTTTTTCCCTGCTGCCCTGGCCTCTGAGCTCTGAGGGTTGTGGTGGGTGAGTGGCCTGGCCCCTACTCAGGAATGCGCTTGGGTTCATGTTGAGCAATGTTGCTGCTTGGGGGTGGGTTGGGGACGGGAAGAGGCACCCTCAGCCCCTCCCTCCTCAAGGCAGCGTGGGAACAGGCCTCCGGGAAACGCCCTGTCTGGCCCAAGCTGACCAGGGACTCCGCACATGGGGGCCCAGCAGGCTATATAGCCTGCGAGACAGAAATCCCTCTCTGGGCCTCACTTCTGGGTATACCAGGAAATGGGCTCTGTGTACAAGGACCCAATACAGGCAGGACTCACCATGAGGGAGAGGAAGGACAGGTGGGGCTTAGGGAGGGTCTGTGTGGCCAGAAGTCCTGCCACAACCCCTGCATCTTGTACTCATGCCAAGGGTCAAGGGAGTGCCTCAGCAGACCCTCACCCACCAGCTGCCTGCCAGTGAGACTCCCTAAGGCCTGGGGAAGACCCAGCTGATGTCCCCAGGGGAGGAGACTGTTGGCACAGGACCCAGGCAGGGGGGTTGCACTCCCCAGGGGTCCAACGCTACTTTTCCAGGTCAGCAGTTCCCAGGCATGGATGGTCCAGGGGCACTGGTGCCAAGGGGTGGACATGTGTCCAGTCTGCATCCCCTGCTGTAAATTGGTGGTGACACTGGGTTCTGCATCAGACTGTGGCTAAGCTGTCCCAAGTGCCACACCTCGGGTCCCTCTGTTTCTCAGCCCCACTCTTGTGCCACGTGGATGCCCAGCTGAGCTGTGCCAAGGTGAGGCCAGCAAAGACAACAGGATTGGGGTGGAGATCCACACTGATGGGGGCTCGCCACGGAGCCCATCCAGGCCGGGAGCTGGGCTGCCCCAGTTTCACTTCCCCTGTGATGCCAGGAGCTGGGAAAATGACACAGGGGCTCCCAGGAGTCCAGCCCTCAAGCCAGTGAATCCCCCAGATTTACTGGCACGAGATGATCCTGGGCGAAGATGACCTGGCAGGAGGGGCCGTGGGGCCACCGGCAGTGAATGAGTTAAGCCCAGCAACTGTCTCCTCTCTCCAAGGAGAAACTCCCCCTTGATGCCTGGCCTCCTGCCAGGGCCAAGTGCAGGGGCTGAAACTGGAAGTTCAGGCTTGTGGCTGCGTCTGCCTCTGCGCTTGAGGAGGGCCGCAGCGCTACCGCTGCTGTCCATCTGTCCATAGCTCTGTCAGGCTGACTACTCGCCACTCAACTTCAGTCCTCTCTTTCTACTTGTCTGTAAGCCCATCTCTGTCCAGATGTCTGTCTGACCGTCCTGTTTGTCCAGCTGTCTGAGCTGAATATCAGTCCATCTGCTTGTCTCTCCCTGCCCACCACTTTTGCCATTTGTCCACTCATCTGTGAGCCCATCTGCACATCTTGGTGCCCATTCATCTGCCTGTCCATCTGTCCCTCTGTCCACTGGTCTGTTTGCTGCCCACCTGCTCCCCTGCTTGCCCTAGGCCACTGAGCCATGGCCAGGGGCCACAGGTCCACAGTCAGCCTGGTCCTGCTGGGGCTGGGGCTGACGCTGGCCATCACTGTGCTGGCTGTGGTCCTCTCCCGCCACCACAGCCCCTGCAGCCCTCAAGCCTTTGCCCATGCTGCTGTAGCTGCCGACTCCAAGGTCTGCTCAGACATCGGACGGTAAGAGGTGGGTGGAGCTGCGTGGCTCCTGGCAGCGGGGCCCTCCTGGAGACCGACAGGTGGCAGGGTGTAGAGGAGGTGCATGTGTGTGCACGCTGGCCCATGGGGTAGGGGCTGTGGGGTTAGGGGCTCCAGCATCAGCCAGGCCTGGGCACAAGAAGGTGGCCTCAGTACTTTTGTATAGAATAGGTGGCAGGAATCTACAGGTCTGTGGCAGGGCTGGCAGAGGTAGCGTTCCTGGATCCACGGTGCAGGTGGTCCCTCTGCACACCACCGATCAGACATGGAGACCCTAAAAGGACCCTGCTCCCTGTTCCTGGTCTGACCCTGGTGGCAGGCACTGGCCCCTTCAGCAAGGTCAGGCTAGGTCTCCAAGTGTGGGACTTTCCTTGGGGCATGGGCATAGCCTTCCCATATGTGGGTACTAGCCTGGCAGGTGCACACGAGGCAGCCCAGTTTGCCCTTGGGCCTGGGCTACATCGCCAAGTCTCTCAGACCTAGGAAACCTCCCCCCTGCTGGTGTCATATTCCTCATGGCGGCCCTCCCCACGTCAGGGCCAAGTCTGGGTGGGAGGAGTGACTAACGGTGGGCAGGCTGGGACAAGGGGGTGGCAGAGAGGGGCCACGGCTGGTGCTTCCTGACTTTCATTCAGGAAACCCAGCCCAAGGGAGGCCTCTGCTGCCCGGCCACGCTACCACCAGGGAAGGATGTGGCAGGAACACCCTCCTGTCCCCCTGCCTCCCACTAAGCCCCCAGAAACTTGAGGGAGTATCCCTTTCCACCAACCAAGCCTGTCTGCTTGCCAGAATGTCTCCCTCTCAGGCTACCGTGAGTATCACAGTGCCCCATACACAGGAGTCTGTCCCAGTGTTAAGGGGATATATGGCTGGGTCCCGGCCCTGCCACGGCCAGGCAGAGTAGGATTCTGCCCCTTTCTTCCCAGCATGCTCTCTTTTGTCCTTTCATTCATCCGGTATTTCACTCATCCCTCCCTCCCTGCATCCGTCCAGCCATCTGTCCATTCTTTCCGCTCCAGTTGCTTGTCCCAGCCCTAACCCTCCTGACCTGCACCTCTGGGCTTTCCTCCGACTTGTTGATTTCTACCTGGTGTCTACTTTCAGGATAGTAGTGGCTGAGAATGGCAGCTAGGGAACAAGTTAGCAGGCAGGAGCTTTGTTCCCCTCCCCCGGGGTCCTCCCAAGGAATGTGAGTGAATTACCTGCCACCCCTGCCAAAGCCCCTGTCCTGACGTACAGTGTGCACTTAACCCCAAAGTTGCCAAGATGGAAATGAGGCCAGAGGACCACCAGCCCCAGATACGACTGGAGAACACACAGCCCTGGGAGGCGGGGTGGGGGGGAGGAGGCTGCTACCACTATCTCTGAGCAGGGTCTGGACCTGCTGTGTCTCCCCAGCCTCCCTCCAGGGGTTTCTGGGGCACACCCAGATATGTACACGAAGGCTAGGGTCTAGGGTCTCTGCTCTGAGCCTGCTATGTCTGTCCGAACTCTCTTGGGCTCGCCGTTTGTGAAAGGAACGGATGTGGCTTCTCCCCTATGTTTTATCAAGCTATTCTCTGCTTCCTGTTCTTGGTCCAGGAAGCCTGGAGTGGGAGGGAAGAGCCAGCTCCAGCTACTATGGAATGGAGCAGGGGCTGGTGACCCCGGCAGGGCTGGCTCTGGGGGGAGGCTCAGGAAGGGACCTGGTGCAAGGTCCTCTGTGCAAGGTCTCTCCTTGCAGTATCCGTGGCCACACTACTGCAGGGTCTGTTGGCAGACACCCGCGGCCCACACTCCTTCCTCTCTCCTGGCCCCTTCTCTCCTGCCGCATTTGCTCTGAGCCTCAAGGTAAGCTTTGTATCAGAACCCTGGAACATGGTGACAGCCCTTCCCCCTCTTCTGTTGCCTCCCAGCATGACCTCCATGTGTGTTACAGACTTGGGGGCAAACTGCACACTCTGAGGCTCTGATCAGGCATTTGTGGTCTAAGAAAACTTTCTAAACTTGAGGGTTACAAATGTCCTTCAGTTTTTGTGGTTTCTGTTTGCTGTGGCTGCTTAGAAATTCCTGCCCTTGTAGGCACGACCAGGCAGGCATGATCATCCCAGAACTTGGGATGAGGAGGCCAGAGGATCACGTATTTGCACTCAGCCTGAGCAACCTAGTGAGACCCTGTCTCAGAATAAAGAAGGGTTGGGAGTGCTCAGTGTGAAGGCCCTGGGTCTAAACTCCAATACAAAAATGAAGAAGAAGCAAAAAAGAAAGAAATGCCTGCTCTCCCCGAGGATCCTCCTCAGGGGGAGGACTCTTTTCTTGCTTTTCCATTTGACTTAGGAGGATTAGACCTAGAAAAGGAACCTGCCGCTGGCTCAGGAGATGGGCTCAGCTGGAGCTGGCTTTCTGGGCCCTGCTGCTGCCCGCTGCTCCTCAGGAATGGAAACTCTCCGGGGCTGGGGGGGGGGGGGGGGGAGGCTAGGGTGTCCCTGGAGTCGCCTGCTCCTCCCCTGAGCCCTAATGCTTCAGCACAGCCAGGTGAGCAGTTGTAGAGGGACCTGGAGGTGCACACAGAACTGCTCCCAGGGCTCTGCTGAGGACAGCATTGTTAGGCCCCCAAGGGGTTGGGTTTTGTTCATTTGCTGGTTGTTTTTGAGGCAGGCTCCCACTATGTGTTCTAGGCTGGCCTTGAACTCCTTACATAGCCCAGGCTGGCCTGGAACTCACCGCCATCCTCCTGCCGCAGCCTCCCAAGTGCTGGCATTATAGGCATGCACCACCATACCCAGCTAAGGGCTGGGATTTGTCAGCTGCTACATACCCAGCTGGTGGCTGGGTCATGCCCTTGGTGCAGAAGCAAACAGGGACCCTGGACAGGCTGCTACAGCCCGTGATCCTCACAGTCCTCATCTGTGAAATGGGCCTGCATGGGGTGGCTGCGAGCATCCAGATGCTGAGGTGTGGAGCTCACCCCATCCACCCGAGGGCTTCCCGCAGAGCCTCAGCTCTATCTAGTGACATTTGCAGTAGCTTGGCTGGATCAGACTGACAACTCCAGACCCCAGGGGGGTAAGGGTGTGACTTCTTCCTCTAGGAGCATGGCCTTTGATCTGCGGTTTCCTGCCTCCTAGCATCTGCTCTCTGTACTCTGGGCATGCTCACTGGGAAGTGCCTGTGTTTCCTCCCTTCTGGGGCTAGGGAGGAAACGGCTGCCCCTCCTGCGCAAGAGCAGCATGTGTGTGAATGGGTGTGTGTGATCCACCTGTCTGACTGGGTGTGAGGTAGCAGCAATGGTGACAGCGACCCTTGGTGACCCCCTGCTCCTTGGCAATAGAAACGTGCGGTGCTCCTGCTGCCGGGAACTGCCTACATTTCATAGCTAAGCAGCCCAGCCTCAGGTTACTGAGTGACCTGCCCAGGGTCCTGCAGCTGTCACATAGGGACACCAGCCCTGGCCACAAGTGTAGGGGGGCTATGTTCGTGAGATTGTGAGTGCGTGTGTGTGTGGGGGGGTGCCTTTCTCCATCTACAATGTCCTGTATGGAGTGCAAAAGGTACACCTGTATCTGCCAGTCTTGGCACAGGGGCCCATTGGGAACCCAGATGACAAAGCCCCTGCCTTCATGGGAGGAGAGATGACAATAAATCTAAAGCTGATGTTGGGGGCTTGGGATGTAATCACTAGTCATTGAGCATTCAGTTTTAGTGGTGTTTTCATTCCACTTTTACTTCTTGTGGAGCATGGTGAAACCCAGCACTCAGAAAGCCGAGGCAGGAGAATTTCTGCTGAGCTCAGCACCAGCCAGGGCTACACAGGGAGTTCAAGACCTGCCTGAAGCACATACTGACCTCGGCCTTCTTTCTAGTATCATTTTCGGTGAACCTAGAAATTGAATCCAGAGCTTGTAGAAGCCAGGCAAGCCCTGTGCCACTGAGCTCCATTCTCATCCCAGACTGGGCTTTTGGGCCAGGTGTGGTGGCGCGCGCCTGTGATCTCAATGCTGGGGAAACTGAGACAGGAGGACCACCAGGGGTTCAAGGCCAGGCTGCACAATGCAGTGAGACCCTGCCTCAAAAACAAAATCAAAGCAATTTTGGCTTTTTTGTTAGTTTTTGGTGTCTAGAAATGTTTGTATGGTTGTGTCAAATATTTGGATATTAAGATTGTACATTGCACATTATATGTCATCATGACAGATATATAAGTCAGAGTACCCCTGGTTCTTTGTTTTATGGATATTCTCTGTTGGCTCGTCTATGGTTAGTATTCAGGGCCAGTTTGGTCAGGATGTGGTGCCTCGCAGTTTGGTCAAATACAAGTGCTTGTCAAGCCTGGTGGCACACACCAATAACCCAGCACTTTGAGAGGCTAAGGCAGGAGGATCACAAGTTCAAACCAGCCTGGGCAACTTAAGGATTTAAGAAGAGCCTGTCTCCAAATAATTTTTTTTTTTTTTTGCGGAACTGGGGCTCGGACTCAGGCCCTCGTGCTTGCCAGGGAAGCACTTATTCCACTGAGCCATCTCCCCAGCCCTCAAATAAAAATTTTAGAGGATTGGAGATACAGCTCAACACAAAGGCCTTGGCTTCAGTCCCCACCACTGCAAGAGGAAAAAAAGAAGCTCTTCAACTTACGATGGGGTTACATCCCAGTAAACCCATCATTAGTTGAAAGTAGATACCAGCAATGCATTTATTCCATTTAACCTACTGAACAACCTGGTTTAGCAGCGCCTGCACAGTGGGGTATGGGCCAATTTCCTCTCCTGGACTGGGGAGTTGTCCAGCAGGGAGAGAGAGAGGCCCATACTGAATACAACCAGCCTTGGAAAGGTCAACTTCAGAAATATTGTTCCTACCAAACATACTATCACTCTCACACCATCATCATTAAAGTTGTAAGTTGAACCAGACATGATGGGTACATGCTTGTAATCCTAGCCCTCGGGAAGCTGAGGCAGGAAGATCATTGCAAGTTGGAGGCCAGCCTGGGCTATCTGGTGAGTTCAAGGCCAGCCTAAACTGTACAAAGAGACCCTGTCTAAAAAAAAAAAAAAAAAAAAAAAATGTGAATGGAGCCAGGTGTGGTGGCACATGCCTGTAATCCCAGGACTTGAAAGGCTGAGACAGGAAAATCACCAAGAGCTCAAGGCCAGCCTGGGCTACACAGTGACATCCTGTTTCAAAAAGCAAACAAAGAAAGTAAATTGAGCCCTGGTAGGCGGGGGATTGTCTATATTAACCTAGACACTGCTGTGAGAGTATTTTGGGATGTGACTAAAGTTACAATCATTTGATTTGTAGTAGAAAAGATGTACTTCCACAATACATGTATTTTGTTGTATTTATTTATTGGTACCAGGGATTAAGCTTGGGCTTGCCAGGCAGGCACTTAAGCTACGGAGCTCTCTCCCTGGCCTGTAGTTCCACAATATGTGTGGGTGTCATATATCAGTTAAGGGTCTTTTTTTTTTTTTTTTTACTCAGCAACCAATGGGTCACAGATGAAATTAAACAAGAAATTCAACAATATCTACAATTCAATGAAAATTCAAGCACAACTTATCGGAATTTATGGGATACGATGAAAGCAGTTCTCAGAGGGAAATTCATAGCTGTGAACTCACACATTAGGAAAACAGAACGGGAACAAATAAACACCCTAATGTTGCACCTTTAACAACTAGAAAAGGGAGAGCAAAGCAAACCCAGAGCCCAAAGACGCGAGGAAATCATAAAGATTAGAGCAGAAATTAATTCAATTGAGACGAAGAAAACAATTGAAAGAATTAAAAAAGCAAAAAGCTGGTTCTTTGAAAGATTAAATAAAATTGATAAGCCCCTAGCTAACCTCATCAAACAGAGGAAAGAAAAAATTCAAATACAAGCAATAAGAAATGAAAAGGGTATAATTACCAGACTCAATGAAAATTCAGAAGATTATCAATAGCTACTTTGAGAATCTTTACTCTCAGTTAAGGGTCTTAAGAGCAGAAGCTCAGATTTCATGGGGAAGAAAGAGATTTTGCCCGAGCTGGGCATGGCCGTGTGTTCCTGTAGTCCCAACTATTTCAGAGGCTGAGGCAGGAGGATCCCCACAGCCCAGGAGCTGCCAGCCATGGAAACACAGTGAGACTGTCTAAAAACAAACAAACAAACAAACAAACAAACAAACAAAAAATTGTGCCAGGCAAGGTGATGCACACCTGGAATCCCAATTTGAGGCCAGGCTGGGAAATTTAGCAAGAATCTGCCTCTAAATAAAGAAAAAAGTAAATAAATAATTTTAAAAGATGGGGGAAATAGCTCATTGGTAGAGCTGTTAGGATGTGCATGGCCTCAGGGTTGGTCTCTCGCGCTGCAAGTAAGAAGCAGAACTCCTATGGCAGGAAGTTCTGCCTGCATTTCCAGGCTGCCCCTTCAGATTTTAAACCCAGGGCTGTAGCATCCACTCTTGGCTGACGGGATGTGCAGCAGCCGTTCTCTGCAGATTTCTAACTTCCCAGCCCTCACGCCTGCTCAAGCCAGCTCCTTAAGATGAGCTCTCTTCTCTGTCTGCCTGTGTCCTGTTGGTTTCATTTCTCTACAAAACCCTGATTTACCGTTTCCTCCTGGGAACAATACTGAAACCAGCCAAAAGCCTCTTCTTCCTCCCTATTGTGCCTCTTACCAGTTCTAATATTACTTTACTTCCTAAGGATTGTATCATTTGAAATGAATGTTATTATTAATTATCATCATTTTGCAATGCTGGGGATTCATGTATACTAGGAAAGCCCTGTAACAGAGAGCTCCCCTCACAGCCCTAATTATAGGAAATTAATATTATCCTATAGCTTTTACCATCAGCATTTGCATGATATTTTTTTCATCGTTTTACTTTCCCCTTCCTGTACCACTTATATAAAAGGCATTAGCTTTAATCTATTATTAAAATTTTCATCTATTAGCATCTCATGGGTAATGTCATAAATGATTCATTTAGGTTTATAGTCATCATCTGCTGGGCTTGGTGCTGCACTCCTGTGATTCCAGCTCACGGGAGGCTGAGGCAGGAGGATTGCCGTGAGCTTAAACTAGAGGTCTGGTTAAGGCAGGATACTTGTTAGAGTTTATATCCAAATGTTCCCCCCATGTCTCATGTGCTCATGGGATGTTTGATTTTTTATTATTTATTTATTTATTTATTTATTTGGTACAGGGTCTCACTACACAGTGCGGACTCATAGTGATCCTCCTGTCTCAGCCTTCCCAATGCTGGGATTACAGGCATACATCACCATGCCCAGTTTCAGTGGCTGGCTCCTCCGTGCCCGGAACCAGCAAGGCATGTGGCCAGAAAGCAGCCAGAGAGATAGCTTGGCAGTATAAGCACCAGCCTGGCAAACTCAAGGATCCGGGATGTTTTATTTTGAATCTTATAAGATACCATTTTCTATAGCACTACAATTTTGTTTGTTTGTTTGTTTTTGTTTTGAGACAGGATCATGCTACGTATTTCAGGCTGCCCTTGAACTCACTATATAGGCCCAGTTTGGCCTCCTGCTTCGGCCTCCCAAGGGCTGAAGTTACAGGTGTGCACCACCATGCCCAGCTGAGAAAGGGAGATTAGAAACTAAGATCTGGACGCTAGGAGTCTGCATCACCAATGGGACAGCATGACTCCAGTTTGTGTCTATGCAGAGCCAGAAAAGACATAAGAAAAAGACTGAGTCTCCATCCCGATAGCCCCAGTCCAGACCCCCCATGACAGGCTCCTTCCCTCTATCTTCTCTCATTTTTTTTTTTCTCCCATGGTAACAGAAGTTTCCAACAAGTTCAATATATTTGCTTTCTTTCTCTGTCCTAGAATATGAAATACTTGGGAAACTGCTTCAACAGCAGTGTCCCTAGGTGGAGACGGCAGCTCTGCCCTGGTGTGTGCATGAGTGCGTCGGTCCCAGGGTCCCGCAGCAAGGTGTCAGCTTCACCAGTTGGCAAACCATCCAGGCCATGGGGGCAGATGGCATCTGTCAGGGCGCTCCGCTGCCTCCCTCCCTCAATTTCAAAGCAATGCTGAAAAAGCCATTAGCTGCGGGGATGGTGGCCCACGTCTGTAGTCCCAGTGCTTGGGGACAGAGGCAAGAGGGTCACCAGGATTTCAAACCTAGCCTGGGCTGTATAGTGAGACCCTGTCTTAACCACACACCCCCACAAAAAAAGAAAAAAACTATTAGCTAAGACCAGCACAGCATGCCTGGAGTCAAGGGAAGTATCTGATTTATTTTTTCCAGTAGCACAGATTAAAGAATCTCATTTATCTTCCTATAAACTGTTAGACCCAGGCTGTGGGAAAGATCAGATTTATTCCATCTACACACAGGCAGGCTGATATTGGGTAAGAGCAGCGGCTACCTGGAGGGGATGCTAAGTATACGCAGGGTTTAGGGGTGGGGGTTGCAGTCTTACAGAATCTGGAAGGAACGTTTGAAGGCAAAGCTGCAAGCCAGCGAGATAGCTCAGCAGACTAAGCCCCTGCTTAGGCAAGCACAGGGATTAGGGTTCAATTCCCAGCACCACATGCTGTGCTGGCCCCACCCCTGGGCATGCTGAG